TATTAAAAAATTCAAACACTATTTCAAAAGATATATTCAGTTGCCACCTCTCTTTGCTATACCAAGAATAACGTCGTTATCTCCTTAATTTCTCTAAAGTAGCCATAGCGTTGTAAAGAGAATAAAAGAGAAAAAGGATCAAGAGAGAGAGAGAGAGAGAGAGAGAGAAAGAGAAAGAGAAAGAGAGACGATTTACAGAATTTAAACAGTCCCTTGGGATAAGGCAGGCAAAATAATTTGCGGGCCACCCCGCGGCGAAGCTACACCACCATCATCAGGGTACCCCAAACCCCCTTACTACTACACTCTATACTATTCCTTTAGCTTTTCTCTCTCTCTCTCTCTCTTTCTTTCTATCTTTCTCAGCATCCGGGAAAGGTTACGTCCTTCCTGCGGGATAAAACAAAACAACCAACGGAGTATATTAATGCTTGGCTTAATGTGGCCCGCCTAATTAATGGACCGACTCACCGGACTCTCTCTCTCTCTCTCTCTCCCTCTCACACTCTTTTTCTCTTCCTATAAAAGTAAGAGAAACGACAACGGTGCGGTGTATTGCAGCACCGTTGTTCAAGACAAAAGGGGCCTGGCTAGCTCATTCGTTTGTTCATTCGTTCAGTTCAGTTCAGTTCAGTTCGGTAGGAAACTCGTGCAACGGAGAGAAAACTTTTCACGGAGATTCGTTCGATGTAAACGCGATAACGTGCGTTTTCATGACGGGGGATGCTCGAGGGAAAGCGTGTGCAGAGAAGAGGGGTGGTCGATACGATGCTGTTGAAGAAGGAGAAGGAGAAGAAGAAGAAGAGAGAGAGGAGAGAGAGGGACAGATTCTGTATGCGAGAATGAGAGAGAAGAAGAAGAGGTGTGGTACTCCTGTTCGTTCGACGATCTCGTGGGTGGCACCGAGAGGCTGTCGCGAATGCAGCAAGGGCGGAGCCTTGAGAACTGCATCGAGAGACTGCCCAGCCAAGTCGATAACGGACCACACCACTCCAACTTCTTTTACCTTCTTTATACCCTAAATACCTTTATTCCGTTTCAAATCTTCTTTTTTTTTTTCTTTTTTTTTGGGGAGGAACACGTTGGTTCTACTTAAAAGTTCGAACGAAGAAATCCGAATAAGGTAATTAATAGGAATGGTCTACTAGCTAATTTTACAAAAGTATTATTAATAAGAATTCTTTTATTGAAATACCAATTTAAAATGGCACTTTTGTTGTATTTAAAAAGTAGACGAATGATCTAATCAATAATTTTAAGTATGAATAGGTAAGAAATAACAAAAAAAAAATGAATTCTTTTTGTTTTTCTGTAGAAAAGTAAAAACGCTTAGAGAATATTTAAAACCAACAGACATTCTTAAACAGCCTTCAAAGTTGTTCTTAGAAGTGACAGGTTAGCATATTCCCATGAGCGTGAGAGAAAATTTGACAAAGGAAAACGAACTTGACACACAGGAAGAGGGAGGAGAAAATAATGACAGAGACACGGGGGGAGTTGGAGATGTGGATGTGAGGGGTTAAAGGGATGCCTTTTCAAGCAGGTCCAGTTTACAACAGCCGAGTTAGCGGTTGTCGAACATGTAACGGATAATCGAATTATCGTTGCTTTGAAGATCACCGTCCGTGGATGATCCAATCACGTACCTGACGAACAAATCGTCAACGATGCGAGCTACTTTCGAAAGAAACGTGTCTCTCGTTATGAACTCCCTGTCTCTCTCTCTCTCTCTTTCTTTTTATTTTTTTTTATTTTTTTTTTTTTGCTCAGTTACGTTCCAACGAAGCATTCTGCTGCCTCTTCCTCTGCTCCGTTAACCTTTTGACCACGTTAAATATAGCTAATACATATGTATATGATGCACATACACGTTTTGCCTTTTTACAAGCTAGTCCAGGATAAACACCAATTAGGAAATTCGATGTACATACTCCTCGTACGAGTTGCCTTTGACTCGTGCAGCAGTCCTATGAAATTATCAAACATGATTTACCGAGTGTATACAACCTACAGCTAAAGTAATTACCTTCAACGTGGAAACACTCTCATCAACATATTGTACTTAAAAGAAAAGTCATTTAATTGGGAATACTATTATCTTTCTTAACAATTCTATTTAACAATAATTTGTATGTATTTTGATATAATATGTATTTTACATAATAAATAAATTCCGACCACTGCGACACCACCCATGTTCAAATTAAATACGTCTGAAAAGGGTTAAACCCTAGTCGAATCATTTAATTCGAAAAAAAAAGCTGAAATCTTTTCGACTTCGAAATTTTTCAAAAAGAAAAGAAAGAAAAAGAGATGTTGCGTTTCGTAGTTAAAAGAATGAACTTGGTAGTTGTTCGGTTCGTCTTTACTGCATTTCTCTCTTGTACTAGTTCACATTGTCACCCTCGTAAGAGGGTTTCGAAGTTCCGGCACGGTAACGTTTGAAACAAAGCTTTGAGGGAGCCACAACAATGCCCGGTTTTTCAAGCCCTCCTCAGTGGTACTTTCCTGGTGGTATAGAAGAGAGTGAGAAAGGGAGAAAACAAGGAAAGGGTGGAAGGAGAGCTAGGAGGAGACTAGTACCTTCACGCAAATTGCAAAACAAAGTGGAAATCGACTGGCCAGGCAGCCACCCAAGCAGCCACCCAGGCAGCCAGCCAGGCAGCCAGGGTTGTCGAAGGTTTCCTGAGGTCTTCTTTGGAATCCAGGTCGGAGTCCACAGGAATTTTCGTTTTGCCATACCGGCATATGTAATTCAACTTACTTCCGTTTAAACTACGTAGTACAAAGTACGAGGTCTCATTCAAAGGAAATTATGACCAACTCAAAACATTAGAGTGACGTGTTATTTATATTTCTAATTGCTCAGTTTACTTCGAATTTTTTTTCCTCTGCTCTTATTTTTTATGTCTTTTTATATTTTTTGTTTTGTTTTGTTTTGTTTTATCTGATGCGAATGAATAAAAACGTATCAATTCGATCAGAACAAACGAAAAAAAAAAAAATAAAGAAATAAAAACCATGGTGAACAACACAATTTTTATCTTTTTACAGTTCGTTCAATCGTATCAAATTCGACGATAGTAGAGTCAAAATTTAACATTTCGATCCTGTTTTTTTTTTTTTTTTTTTTTTTTCATTGGTTTAAAGGATCGCGTGTGAAAAGTGTAAAAGTGTATTTTAACACGGATTTTAATTCAAGACGAATAACAATAACAATAATAATAACAACAACGCACCACTACCGACCGTGAAGAAAATTCCCGCGTAAACGTAATAACCAGCGATAAGATAGAATTCCGTATACGATGATATGGTGTATAGAAAAAGAGAAGGAAAACAGAAAGAGAAGAGAGTGGCGAACTTATGGATTTTAACGGTGAAACATTCGTCACGCAATTATTATGTGGGGAAACTTTGTGCGCGAGCGGATTTAATAGTTTGCATAATTTACCTACCCCCGTACGCTGGTTAGTTATTCCATTAATCATTACCCTCCTCCTCTTTCATAGGTGGTGGTAGTAGTAATAGTAGTAGTAGTAGTAGTAGTAGTAGTAGTAGTAGTAGTAGTAGTAGGGCTTGCAGCACGCTTACGAATAATAATTATTGTACGATTATTTATAACGAACTCAATTTATCGGTAGCCGGTATAGAAGAAGAGGTGTATGCACGGGGTGGGAGTTTGGGGGGTAGGTTGGTTGATAGAAGGCGGAGGTGCGGAGAGTTTCAGAGAGAGAGTCGGGGGGGGGGGAATAGGGGGAGTAAAGCGTATAATCGATTCAACTCGATTAATTAACTCGCCTCGTTGTGATTCTCGTAACCGAAGTTGCTCTCGTTTCAACGATAATGGAACAACGGTAATCCAAACGCGTTGTTGTCGGCACAATTCGCGACTGACGGGGTGCTGGCTCCTCTCTCTCTCTCTCTCTCTCTCCCTCTCTTTCTCTACGTTTTAATGCACTAAAACGTTTCCCCCTATTAAATTTCGTCAGATTAATAATCCTTCGATAGGAACATTTATATAACCCTGTTATATTAGATCTTCACTCACATTTAAGAAATATACCTTAACTAATTTTTGTTAGATAGATAGTTTTATCCAAGACCTCCTACGATTAGGTCCTTAACCCATTGACTAAATATAGATAGGCAACATTGATTGGAAAGTTTTGAAATAAATATGAAACCCGATCAAAGGTATTCTCCTAAGTATTAATATTTGTTTCGAAGTCGCGACCGCATAGAAGATATTGACAACGTCCTTGCAATATTGTGTCCAGGCTATAAAAGGGAAGTAGTGGGGCTGGGTGGTGAGGGAAAGGACATATTGAAACCGCATAAACTTTGCTCATAGCAGCAATTTACTTGTAAATATTTACCGGAATACTCGATTTCAATAATCCATTCCTTCAGAAATCTTATCTATTATCAATTTCATGGCAAAAAAACACGTTGCTGACCGATCACGAATAGACGATATAATAATTAAAAAAAAAAATAAATAAATATATAATAATTATAAAACAAGTGAATTGCAAAAGATCGTCATGATGTTTGTCGAAGATAAGGTTTCAGTTCTAAAATTCCGAATAAAATGTTCAGTCGTTGGAGAATTGGTGACTGCTTTGGAGGGAGGGTCAAACTAATTCGATTCTAAACTCTGACCGCATCGTCAGAGAAATAGAAAGAAAGAGAGAGAGAGAGAGAAGCAGAGCTAAACCAAGCCACCCACCCAGCACACACAGCTCGGACACAGATGGTACCAAACCACGCGGTTAAATTCTCGAGCCGTAACTCTAATTACTCATAGACAAGCCGACGCGTTTCTATAGTGCCAGATGCCGGCCGGTGAAACTTGTTTAAAAGCTAAGCAAACTGAACATACGATTTTATACCAAACCGTTTATTTTCAACTCATTTGATTGTCATATTGTATTCAAGAATACGATTTGATAAAGATTATCTTATCTAAATTATTGTCTTATGTTTTTATTTTACAGTCTAGTGAATCTCCGAGGTGACAACATCGGAGATTAGAAAAAATGATGATGGACGTGAGCAAAAACGAACCTGGCAGTAAAAACGGTGCGACTCAACAGGAATGCGCTGGATGTGGGAAAACTATCACCGAAAGGTTAGAAGTGGAAATTTTCAGGACGACCTAATTACATATAATAATACTTAATGTATCCGTAATTGTTTTAGATATTTATTGAAAGCGTTGGACTTATACTGGCACGAGGACTGTTTGAAATGTGGTTGCTGCGATTGCAGATTGGGGGAAGTTGGTTCGACGCTATACACAAAAGCCAATCTAATTCTCTGCAAAAGAGATTATCTGAGGTAAGATAATATAAACTGAAATATATAAGCCTATCGATATCTTCTCATTCTTATCGTTGCGTATAAAAGTAAACAAAGCCAACAAAAAAGAAAAGAAAAGGAAAGAAAAGAAAAGAAAAAGAAGAAGAAGAAGAAAACTCTGAAAGGAATAGCCGGAGGTGGAAAAACAAATCGAATTTTACAGATGAGTTTCCCTTTATTGAATACACCATCCACATCCACATTCTCCTCCTCCTCCTCGTCCTCCTCCTCCTCCTACTCATCCTCCTTTTGGTCGTCTAAACAAGCGAAGCAAATAAAGCCTTGTGCGTTGAGATTAAACCCCCGCCGACAACTCCCGAGGGAAAGCAGGCAGGTGCCGCCGCAACCGTCTGCCTCTATCGAAACAACACCCATCGTGCCCTTTATTAATGGCCCAATATTTGAAGACGACATACTCTCTCCAACTATGTCCCCCATGAGCTTTTATTGGCACTCGTTACGATCCCGGGTTACCATGATTTTTATCCTTCACCAGGTTATTCCTCCTATTATAACTCGGTGGTATTACCGTTCAAATTAATATTTTCTTTGCTCTAATGTAAGCTATTTTATCTTTCGATTGAAAATAATCATAATAATTATCTTTTTATTTATTTTGTCCAGGCTTTTTGGGAACACCGGTTACTGTGCGGCATGTAACAAAGTCATACCGGCTTTCGAAATGGTCATGAGAGCAAGAACGAACGTTTATCATCTGGAATGTTTTTCCTGTCAGGAATGCGATCACAAGTAAGATTTATTCATTTTATTTAGAATTATTTGGCTAGAGTGCTTCTAGAAGATAACAGATAATGAAAGATTCACGCGTTAGGAAGAAAACGTCGTCTCTTCACTCGTGGCAGCTCATCCGTATAACAATTTAATTCGAGTAGAGGCAAACTCGCGTTTGAAAGGGCGCGGGCTGCCACCACCTTACCTCACCTCACCTCACCTCACCTCACTTCCTTTCTCTTGGGTGGTATTGCTACTACTACTACTACTACTATTACTACTACTACTACTACTACTACTCTTGGAAAACTTCTCCCAGGACTTTGCAACACTTCGCTTACTTATTCACAACAAGCGAGTTAAGCCGAAAGTTCTTCTTCGTGCCGAGACTTACGTCTTCGGAACACCTCCTCCACACCTTTCTGGTATCTACCGAGTGAAGATAATCGGGATGAAAGTCAGCAACATCTCTCTCGTGGTTTAGCTGCTACGCGGTATTTAACAACTCAAGAATTTTCAATCTAGCCACCCTTTTATTCCTCATATTTGTATTTGTTTTTTTTTTTTTTTTCATTAATTATAATCAAAAAGGGAAAGAACTTATTTTTTATTTTTGAGAAATATTCATTTGCGAGAAACAACAGCAACCCTGTCTTTCTTACATATTTTTCTTCTTAATTTAAATGAAAATAAATGAACAATTTCGTTAAGGAATTTTATACATTTTTCTTGTGCATCAGGAATTATATTATCTGGGATTATCTTGGAATTCTTAAAAATATCAGGAATTTAATTGTTTAAGTAAAATAAAAAAAAAAAAGTACAAGATTTTAGTGGAATATTAATTTTGCAGAAACAGTAACCCCTTTCCTTTCCCATAAATGGGGAAACTCCGAGTGACGATTCTCGTAAATTCCCATTCTCTCTTTATCTATCTTTGTCCCTTGTACCCACCCCCCCTTATCCTCCATCCCTCTCATCCAGGGTGGAGAATAATTGACGCGATAGTATACGGCTCTTCGTACGGAACAGTCGAGACATTTGGCGAAAGGAAAGTCAGAGTTTCGAACTATGCGAGCGACGTGTGGGTGCCTCGAGGTGCACGTCAGATGCAAATCAACTCGACTAATTTCTCGGAAAACTCGCGAGTTCGGTGAGGGTGCTGATGAGAATGCTCTCGACGTTTGACTAAGAGTAAGAGAACCTTCGTAGAAAGAGACAGTAACTGAGATATCAAAATAAAAAAAAAGAGAGATAGAACATTTTTCTTAAACGTGGAAAAAAAGTCAACCATACAAAAATGAATGAATAAATGAATAAATGAATGAATGAATGAATGAAAAAAAGAAAAATAAAAAACAATTTACAATTATAATAAAATGATAATTATTTTATAATTATATCCTAAATGAAATAATCATAATTGGATAAAATAAAAATATATGTAATGTTCGACCAGGGGGCAAGGTAATACATAAATCGTTGGCATATTTTGAAAGGTAGTAGTAACGTAACGACACTCCATCGTATAATCATCGTATTACTCTCTCAATATCCGCTTTACGGTTTATTAGATATTATGTAATTAGCTATTGCTCCTGTCGAAATATACGAATGGCGTGGCTCGTTATTGCGTTACCCGACTGATTAATTAAACGGATTTAATTGTTCGATAATGTTGCCTGACTCGCTAGGAACGATTTTAAACTGTTCTATTATGAAACATCCCACAATTTCTAAAAATAAAAACGAAATGAACAAATTTATAAAAATAGGGAATAAATGTTAATGCTACTCGCGGATAAGCAATAATAATAATAATGATAATATTATTATTATTATTATTATTATTATAATATTATAATTTGATAAGGAACAAACAGAGAAACTCGATTATTATTCAACGATAAATTTGGATCACGGATAATTACTTTAATCAAATTTTGCGAATCAAAGAAGGAGGACACTTTAAATAATTAGATGAAAAAAAAAAATAAAATAAAAGATGAACAGGAAAGACAACGTGTAGGGGTTGCTTGATGGTATTTCGTAGCTTCAAATGTCAGACTACGGCATTTCCTTGACCTTTCGTACCTTTCATCGACGTATCACGTATGACCTCAATTCTCGAACAAACCTAATTTTTCTTTTCTTTGAAGAAACTTACACGAGTTTTCATAAGAAAATTCGAATATAATCGAAAAAGTACAAAAAAAACAAAAACAAAAAATCATGAAAGAAGTACGCGTTTAGCGACATTTAATCGAAACGATCTCGTAAGAAACAAAGAAAATAGAAATAAAAAGAAAACGGTAAGAACTATAATAAAAAGTTAAAGGTCGTTTAACGGGGCACAAAAAACTTTTACGATGTTAAAAGAAAATTTGCAAGCTACTATTCGTAAATAAGACTTTCTTTTTCTTCATCTGTTTCTGCTGCAACTGTTTTTGTTAAATTTTTTTATATTACTAAAAGAAAAAAGTTTAAATAAATTATTGATAGTACTGTACTGTAATGACTATAAGGTAAAAGATCTGTTAGATTCTCGATGAAAAATACAATAGAACGTGAGAGACGTCGTAGTATTACGTGGGAGGTGTATCGAGCGAGTAAGATCATGGCTCGGAGATACGTCGAAAGTATACTTTCTTTCGTGGCCCGATGGTTAACGTGCAACCCTTAAGACGAAGGGATCGCTAAGAAAATGGGGTAGGGGTAGGGGGTAGGGAGTTACCCCGTCCAAGAAGACGGGGGTTGACCGTGTACGTAAAGGCGGAAACGGATGTGGCCGTTGGGTCACGCGATCTACACGAACCGAGCATAAAACACCTGAGTTGTTTAATCATACGCTCCTGAGGCGACTCCTATACCGTAAACTCTTATAAGGGTGTCCACCATCCCCGTTAAAACCCTTCACACCATCCTCTCCTCCATCTCCTTTCCTTCTTTCTTTCTTTTTCTTCTTTTCCTACCACCCCAAACCTCTCCTACCCCTCGGAACTGTTGTTTCTCTTTATGTCACTTCGTTTTCATTCCTTCCTTCTCGTTTACGCTTTTCGATAAACGAGCACCGTTTATCCATTAACGAGAGAACGAACAGGGGCATTGCATGTTAAACCCTGTGTGTTTCTAAAACGACTCTGATGACGTCAAACTACGTCCACGGTGATTTTCACGAACTCTTTTTTCCTTTCCTTTCTTTTCTTTTTTTCTTTTTTTATCCTCGCGCTCAATGTTCAGTTAAATATTTCGGAAACCGTAAAAAAAAAAAATCAAAAACAAAACCAAAAAAAAAAAAGGATTCGGCAAGAGGTAGGTGCCGCGCTTGACACCCCTTCCCCTCCCCTGCCCGTGACCCACCACCCTTCGCCCTTTCTCTTCCTCCTCTTTTCCCAGCCACCCCAACGAGTCTCTGTCGCGAACGTCGAGCTTTTATTAAAGCAGATGTCATGGTTCGTCCACGAAAAATCCTACTCTACTGATTTATCGTTCATCGTTTTAAACTATCGATTTATTTTCTCTAAAAACCATACATGTATGCGTATATAGGTACCCATTTAGATTTATTCAAATTATTTTCTATATAAATTTAGAAAAACCTTAGATGTGGTGGCAGATCTGACTGTTTACGTTTGATGGCGTATTAAAATGAATTTAAACGACACGCGCACATACACACACGCATACGGTTTTAATTTAATTATTTTCATGATTTAATAAGTAGACGTGTGAATTGATCGTGAAAATAATGACGAAACTTATGTTAGTAGAATTTTACAATTTTATTATATTGCAAAAGTAAATCCTAATATAATGTTTTTCGTTAGACGATATTTCATTTATTGAAGAAACAAACAAACAAAAATTGAAACACTTTTCGAACAATTTGACAATCGTAATAACGGAATAATAATTAAACACCAGAGTATACTATTTGAATATAATAATGGGGAACGATTTTCGACTCATTAAATTAGTAATTATCGAGTTAAAATAAAGTACTGTATTGTATATCATTGGTTTTGAAACAAACAAGCTCCTTAACAATTCTCTAATTCTCTCTCTTTCTCTCTCTCTCTCTCTATATATATATTATATTCTTTTATTACAGGTATAAGTTTCGTATATATATATATATCTGTTTGTAAGGCGCCTTACGATCTTCTCACCCAAGAAGCTCAAAAGCTTTTCCCATTGTTTATGAAAGTACGCTTTGGCTATTGTCGAGAAAGCGTGGAAATCTTCCTTCCCTTTCTAAAGGCAACCATCAAGCAAAGCATTGTTCGTGCTTATACTAAATTTTGGCATTACGAGTCGGCCGGCTTAATTGTTATTGTTCCGCGGAGCTTATCGAACGGTATACTCTGCTATATTCCCACGCGAATCATTGCTTGGCATCGTAATTACTAGAAAATCATTCGACTTGCCTTACACTAACAAAACACACAACCGACCAAACTGAAACTGAACTGAACAGAACTGAACAGAACAGAGCAGAACAGAACAGAACAGATCTGAACTGAACGAAAAAAGAAAGGAAAAAAAACCGAATAAAACCGTGTTGAACCTTGTGCCGAACCAACATGCCACGCAAATGTGCCTGGTTTTAATATTGAATTCTCTTAACGAGCCGAGTAAACGCGATCGTAAGGTTTAAAGAAAAAAAAAAAATAAATAAATAAAACAACCGGAATAAAAGAGAATAAGAAGGAAAGAAGTTAATATTACGTTTTAAACGATAATAATTTGCGTATTGAAACATTCCAAAAACGCGGTCAGAGAAATGAATATTCGTAATACGAGCAATAGTCACGAACTTGGACGATATATGATATATTAACAACGCGTTACTTTATGATAATGCTTGTGAATGTTTAAATATACATCAAACAACATTGATCGAATGTCGGTCGATTAATATTCAATTTAAATACTCGTCCGTATAACTGTGACTACAGTTACACGTTCAATTAAACCTAGACATCGCTCATATATTTTCGTCATTGAAATATGTACGG